TTTTCCCTCCCACCCACCCCTATTTCCGAGTTGGTACAGTGCCACGTCAGCAGTGCCACATCAGCCACAGTGTCACATCAGCAGTGCCACGTCAGCCACAGTGCCACGTCAGCAGTGCCACATCAGCAGTGCCACGTCAGCCACAGTGCCACATCAGCAGTGCCACGTCAGCAGTGCCATGTCAGCAACAGTGCCACGTCAGCAGTGCCACATCAGCAGTGCCACGTCAGCAGTGCCACGTCAGCCACAATGCCACGTCAGCAGTGCCACATCAGCAGTCCACGTCAGCCACAGTGCCACGTTAGCCGTGCCCCGCCACCATGACGGGCGCAGCTCTGGGCATGCCAGGCCAACTGGCCAACGAGTCTCTTGCCGACTACAAACAGCGGTTCCAGCCTCAGCTCGCTCTGATCGAGGCTGAGGAACAGCGCCAGCTGGCAGCCGAGGCTGCCCGCCTACAGGCTGAAGCAGCGGCAACAGCTGAGAAGCAGCGGCTACAGGCCGAAGCAGACGCAGATACCCAGGCACGCCTCAAGGAGGCCCAGGTTCTGCTGCAGCGGCATGAAACTGCCAGCAGCGAAAGACTCAAGTTCTGGCACTTTGAACCCAACGGCGACGACGCGACACCGGAAGAGCAGCATAAGGAGTTCCTCTCCAAACTCGTGACACGGTTGTTGTACGCTTGCAACTACCAATAGTCCGAGTTAGAGAGAAAGAACCAGGAACTGCAGCAACAGTACCAGGATCTGAAGACACAGCACCAGGAATTGGCAAACCTCCGTCGGATAGTGCAGAGCCACGAGGATGCTACACGGGCACTCAATTCCCGTGTACTGGACCTGGAGCAAGCTGTACCAGGACCAGATGTTGGTGAGTCCAGCAGCGCACCCTCTAACCGCCAACTGGAGCAACGCGTCGACCACGTCGTGGCAATGCTCGACAACATCAGCACCTTTGCTGCGCCGACCACCATCAGCAATCAGCTGGATACTTTGAAGACCGAGTTCCAGCAACTGCAGTCGACGAACACGGATGGCAACAATCCAAAGCAATACAAGATGCCAACTTTTCAACTTGACAAGTTCGACGACTACACGCATCAGGACCCGGTGCTCTGGTGGGAAGCTTTCACGACGCAACTTCGGATTCTGCCTGTCGCCAAGCACGCGTACATCGGCACCCTATTCATGAACTCAAATGGCGGATGCCAGATCTGGTTAACCCACCTGCCAGCCACCCACGGCGTCGACGTCGCAGATCTGAAAGACAAGGTTTCATGGGAAGAGTTAACACGGCTGTGGAAGAAGCGGTTCATCGTCGACGACGCACCTGCACTCGCCATCAACCGTCTCTTCACCATGACTCAAGGCAACACAGCAACACGTGACTGGCTCACGGAATGGCAGAAGATCGCGGCAACGCCCGATCTTGATTTACCATTCTCGCATCTGCGTCGTGAGTTCTACAACAGGTCATGCGCTGCATTGAGCCAGGCACTTGGTGATCGCGAGCAGTATGCAACTTTCGCTGAGATTATTGACAAGGCGAGAGAGATCATCAAGACCAAGAGGGCGGCTGCACACAAGAGGTCAACGTGGCAGCCAACCTATGTGGAGAAGGTGAGAACTGGTCCGCGACAGCAGCAGTTCGCTCCAGTCCAATCGAACAACACTGTGGAAGGCCCGACAGCCACCCAAGCGTCACGTGAGGGAGATCAGGTGGCTGCTGTCCAGCCGCGAAGCAACAACAAGCCCCGAGTAAACGGGAAGGCGAAATCAGCATCGCAGGCCGGAAACGGACAGCCAGCACCACCATGGGTCAAGTTCGGCTTGACCGAGGCCGAGTACAAGTACCGCAGCCGTTACGGCTGCTGTTACTGGTGCAACAGCACCAAGCACAAGACCTCCCTTTGCCAGGATCAGGCCAAGGAGGATGTGCGGCCTCGTCTCATCTTGGGAAACTGAGTTTCGCGGGAGGTGAGGCGACTCCACCTCCCACTCCGCCAGATTCGGTCGCCTTGCTAGCGGCCTCCTACACATCTGGGGAGGATGCGAATGTCGTAAGTTCTCGGTATGCTTACGAGGACTATGCTGTCCACTTGGTCCCACTGCTGGACCAACCGCTCCACGTGCAACAATCTACCGCATGCACGGTTTCATCACCATCGACAACTGATTCGGCAGCTTCGCCGCCATCTACCGCCGGGGATTCAACGTCATGGTCAAGACTTGAAGATTTGCGGACTTCCAATGGATGCCCCTTCCCCGGTCCGGTCGATTCCCGAAACCTCATTGCAACATGCTCAAGGCACAATTGCGGGATTACTTGCACACTGCAGTACCGACTCCGTTGATGGACGCCGGAGTAGAGGTTGTCGACCTTCACGCCTACATTGCGAAGATCGACCGCGAGTTCAAGACGCAACGGTAAGACGACATCGACGAACCATCGGAGAGGCGACCTGCAGCGCTTTGATCAATTGCGGAGCATCTCATAACTACATGAGTCAGGACTTCATGGTACGCGCCGGCCTTGGCCCACGAGTCCGAAGGAAGTCCCAGCCTACGCAAGTCACGTWGGCGGAMGGTCACACGCACAAGTCAATCGACCGGTGCATTGATGACGTCCCAGTGTATTTTGCCCCTCACGCAAGTGAGGCGGTGTCCTTTGACATTCTGGACACCAAATTCGACATGATCTTGGGCATGTCATGGCTGCGAAGCGAGGATCACCCGGTGAACTTCTACCACCGCACCGTTCACGTTCGTGATCGGAACGAAGTACTAGTCCCATGCACGGTAGCTCCTCCTCACCCTTCAGTCAGCTGTCACGTGGTATCTGCCACAAGCATGCGAGTTTCCATCATCAAAGACGACATCGAGGAGATGGGGGTGTGTTTTCTCCACGCCCTCCCGCCCCATGACGCTTCACCGACGGACTCATCTTCGGATCCAAGCATCACCGAGCTTCTCGATGCCTATCGCGACGTGTTTGAAGGCCCGCACGGAGTAGTACCGGATCGGCCCATCCGCCACGAGATCATCCTCGAGGACGGGGCCGTACCTCCGCGCGGTTGCATCTACCGAATGAGCAAGGAAGAGTTAACTGTGCTTCGGGCACAACTCGACGACCTTCTGGAGAAAGGCTGGATTCGGCCTAGCTCATCGCCATACGGTGCTCCTGTTCTCTTCGTCCGGAAGAAGAACAAGGATTTGCGGTTGTGCATCGATTATCGCAAGCTCAACACGCAGACGATCAGAAATGCCGGCCCTCTCCCACGCATTGACGATCTTCTCGAGCGACAGGGCGGCGCCAAGTTCTTCTCCAAGTTGGACCTCAAGTCGGGATATCACCAACTCGAGATTCGGAAGGAGGATCGCTACAAGACTGTGTTTAAGACGCGATATGGCCATTTCGAATGGCTGGTTATGCCATTTGGCCTTACGAATGCCCCGACCACTTTCCAAGCGGCTATGACAACGGAGTTCCGACACATGCTGGATCGATACGTACTTATCTACCTCGACGACATCCTGGTGTACAGCCGGAGTTTGGACGAGCATGTGGAACACCTGCGCACCGTTTTGGAGCGGCTACGACAGACCAAGTACAAAGCCAACCGCGACAAGTGCGAATTCGCACGGAAGGAGCTGGAGTACTTGGGACATTATGTGACGCCGCAAGGCATCCGTCCGCTTGCGGACAAGATCGAGGCCCTACGAGTATGGCCCGAGCCCACCAATACCACGAACGTTCGTTCATTCATGGGATTGGCGGGCTATGATCAGTGATTCATCACCGGATACTCAAGGATTGCTGCACCTATGACGAGATTACAATCGCCAAACGTGCCATTCGTATTCGATGACGACGCATGTCGGTCATTCCAAGCACTTAAGACGGCTATGCTCATAGCACCCGTCCTTAGCATCTATGACCCCACCTTGCCGACGAGAGTGACTACGGACGCTTCCGGCTATGGCATTGGGGCAGTCTTGGAACAGCACCACGGCGACGACTGGCACCCTGTGGAGTATTTCAGCCACAAAGTGCCTCCCATCAACTCGCTTGATGATGCAAGGAAGAAGGAGCTGCTCACATTCGTGATGGCTCTCAAGCGCTCGCGGCACTTCCTCCTTGGGCGTCGTAGGTTCACATGGGTCACATACAACAATCCATTGACCTACTACAAGACGCAGGATACGGTGAGCAGCACGATCGGACGATGGATGTACTTCATCGACCAATTGGACTTCACACCGAAACATCTTCCCGGCCTCTCCAATCGCGCAGCAGATGCACTCTCGCGAAGACCTGATCTTTCCGCTATGACACATCATGCCTTCGCATTCGATGAGGAGCTCCAGCGACACTTCATCAGGGGCTATGCGTCGGATCCAGACTTCGCCACGCTATATGTGCAACTATCTTCGGATCACCCGCCGGCCAGCCACTATCACATCGCCGATGGGTACTTGGTCCTGCACTCGCGGGGCAAGGACTTACTATGTGTCCCACGCGACCGCCGTCTTCGGACTCGCCTCCTCGACGAGTATCATGATTCGCGACTCGCCGGCCATTTCGGAGTCAACCGCACTATCGCACGGCTTCGACAGCGATTCCGATGGCCCGACCTCATCACCGCCGTCACGAGGTATTGCGACTCTTGCGAAGTTTGCCGACGAAGCAAACCCCACAACCGCAACCCCTACGGCGAGCTGCGCCTGATGCCGATCCCGCAGGAACCCGGTCTCTCCATTGCCATGGATGTCACCGGACCATTCCCCCCCGACCGCCTCGGACACGACGCCATCCTCACGGTTGTGGACCGTTTGAGTAAGTATGCGCGTTTTCTCCCTTGCATGTACTACTCCACGGCTCCCGAGCTGGCACGCCTCTTGCACACCAGTTGGATTTGTGGCCACGGTGTACCGGAAGACATAGTCAGCGACCGCGACACAAGCTTCATGTCGGCATTTTGGACTGCTCTCATGCAGGAGTCCGGCACGAAGATGAAACCAAGTTCGGCTCGGCATCCACAGACGGACGGGCAAACGGAGCGGGCACATCAAACCGCTCAAATGATGCTTCGTACGCTCATCCGTCCGGACCAGAAAGATTGGGTTGACCGCCTCCCCGACATCGAGTTCGCCTACAACACTTCGGTGCACCCAGCGATCGGCGTGACTCCATTCGAGTTGCACCAC